AGTCTTACACAAGAGCTCTTCTTAAGAAGGAAATACTAGCAGAATTGGTTTCTACAGACACTGGAGAGGGGAAATCTGATTTAAAATAGGAGGGAAAGAAGTACATTTCAGATTAATTCTTCATTATTACTGTCACCACTATATACACCAAACCTACACCCCAAAACACTGAAGCTATTGACCAAAATAAAGAAAAGATACAAATAACAGTACCTTTAAAAAGCATAAAGAATTAAATCACATAATAAATAAAAACAGTAATAAGTATACCAGATACCTGGCCTAAGAACAGTCATTAGAATTAGGCACAAAATTTAGATACACTTTCTGGTAGTGAAAATGTGACAGCAGTTCATACATTCCTTACTATCTGATGATATGAAATGTTAACCTTAAGAGAATATTATTCCTCTTCTTTTATCACTGTTTTCTATAAAGGACATATATGATCTCATATTCTCTACAATACTTACTATGCTGCTCTTCAAATGCTACACAAGCATCAACATATATCTAAATGACCTGAAAGTTACACCGAGACAGTTAGAAAGAAGATTGACTACTTTTTTCTACACACACACCCACACCCACGCACATACACCCCACACACTGTCTGAAGGAAAGCTGTTAAGTGCTTCTCCCAGTCTGCCCTCCACCCTCTCCACCACCCCCACTCCTGCAGGGATGGGGAAGAGCTCAATGGGATAGTACACTGCTAGAGTATGTCTTTGTAAGATTACAATCCAAAAAAATTAAAGTTCACAAGAGAATTCCTTGCACGAATATATAAAAAGACAAAAGACAAACTGAAATGTCATGCTCACTACAAAGCAAAGGAGACCCCTATGGTCTCAAATAGAGTCACACAAACCCTCACCCCCCAACACAGACACACACAGACACAGAGACACAAAGACACACACTCCTGCCTGAAACACAAGCTCAGTGAAGGTCTCTAGGATGAACGCACTCAACGATGGGAACGTGGATGTAAAGACAACTTCTATCCAAAAGGCTAAATGCAAAGGTCCCACAAAGGAGGCAACAGGCACAACCAGGAAGTGAAAGGAAAGAGGACACATGAGAGTCACCTTCTGTTGTTTTTCCCACGAGGAAATTGGAAAGACATCTGCACACACAGACGTGATTCCCCAAAACTCAGGAGAAGGGAAACGAAGACTGGCCCAGAGGAAAGAGGAATGGAGGCAACATCCAGCCAGAAGATGGGCACTGATGGGCTGGAAGAAATACAATCCCCCAGGCACAGGGGCCACACTCAGCATGAACAAGAGCTAAATAATGCCACATGCCTCTAACAAACAGGTCATTTTAAGAGGAAAGCCTAAAAACTAAAGAAATGGAAAACGTGGATGAGCAGGATGTATAAAGATGTCTCAAAGAGGAGGCAAGAGCAACCCTACCCGTTTGAAAAGGAAAACCTGACCCACTCTGACCTTGAGTAGAGGTTGCTGCGCACACATCAACAGTCTGAAGCCACTAACCAAGGAGATGGAGAAACTCAACATTTCCCAGATGCAGGATAAGTCAGATCGTCCAAAAGGCAAGGGAAGAGATATCCCATGGGTCACCCAACCTTGTCCAGAAAGCTGGGCAGAGGGGTAAGGGGTGCAGGGGAGGGGCGAGGGATGCTCTAACAGAGAAACATAAGAGAAGTCCATAAGAGGACAGAACCCGTCTAGCCCAACCGTGCACTGCAAGGGGAAGATGGAGAAGCTGAGCTCTGATAATCTGTGAGGAGAGGTGACACAGAAAGCACCAGCGCATTAAACTCACAGAAAGGAACCTAACTTCACACACTAACCTCGAGCGTGATCCTCTAACTTTAGCATTTTCCTCCTACTGCCCGCAGATGGAGCGCCCCAGAGGGCAGGGAAAATTCCAAAAGGCAGGCGGCGTTACTGGGCAGGGCAGGAGAAGATCCAGCACTGGAAGGGAGAGCAATCTGCTGGGAACACGCCAACACAGACAGCAGGTAGTCAACGCCTGTTTTCCTGGGTCCTTAATACTATACCCTAAAAATACACAATTCCATCAACTGAATATAGAGGCAGGCAGAATAGAAACAGCACAAAAACTTTTAAAAACCAAATTAATTTTAAAAAAAAAAGGAAATTGAGGTCAAAAGCACAACTTTCATATGTTGAGTATGATACCCACTGGAGAGCTCAATACTGACTGAGGGGCAAGGTTGTGAAGTCAAGGACTGATGTTGAGCCATCCTCCAGGTAACTGCCTCCAGACTCAGTAACCCAGGTGGAGGGGCTCCTCACTAGAAGAGCTCTTCAAGGACCCCCAGTGCAGAATCCTGACAGAGCTGGGGCAGGGGGATGGCGGTGATGAGGCTCCATAGTCAGCCTTCCCCAAAGTAAGACTCAGCTGATGAACGAAGCCGAAGCAACCACTGGAGCTACAGAAAGGAGGGGCCCTGAGCCAAGGGGAACCGGCCAAATACACAAACTGTGCGGCTCAGAGAAAACCTGGAGGATCATCCCTCCCACCCTCTCACAAAGTGTCACAGGCCCTCCCAAAGGTACCTTTTCCTAGCATGCACAACCTCTCTCAATTATTTAAATGGCCAAAATAAAACAGTGACATATTTATGGCTATTCATTCCTAGTTCTGTCACAGAAACACATATTCTTCTCACCGGCTCCTATCCTTTGCCTAAAAATACAGGAAATCTCTCTCTCCTACATCGCAGTAAAGAAGTCGAAATGAGAACTTTTCACCCCGTGAAGGATCAAGTAGGGATGACCACTTAAATTCAGAATGCCTAAGTCACGGCGGGCAGGGGCGAGCCCTCTACGCTTTGCCTATTCAGGGACCTGGTGAACATTCAGGATGTCATTCTGCTTATTCTGTCCAGTACAAATGACAGAGGAAAGAGCGGCAAGAAGTGGCCATTTATCAATGAGTCTTCAGATTCCTCTAAGCCGAAGAGTTCCCAACAACCGTGATGCATATCTATGTCCTTACACTTAAGGTCCCCATATACACCCAAGATGTAGAGATAGTCTTCTAACCCTTTCAACTTCCTGTATAAACGTAATGAATGTAATTCCACCTATAAACATTTGCCTGTATGTGTATAAATATAAACAAATGCATAGTATCCTTTTTTTTGCCAAAAGAGAACCAAAGCCACAAAAAAAAATAGAAAGCCTCTAAATTTCCCCTTCCCTGAAACCTGTAAGCTCGAAAGAAATGTTTGGATCCCACAAGAGACAACACCAGGACCCAAGGAAGGTTCTAGTACAACAAGGAGCACACTAGCAACCTCTTCCCGAAAGGCATGTGGGCGACATGGGTGTCTCCACTCCCTTTTCTGGATGGAAAGGCATATGGCTTCTTCTTACCCAGCCAACATGAATACAATTTAAGAAAATTAGAAAAAGTCAAGGTAACAGGCTCACTAAATATGGCTGACTGGGAAACAGAAGCCATAAGGAGGATATGAGTTCTCTTAAAAAAGAAATGGGAAGTTTATTTCCAGGGAAGGTTCAAAGTCTCTTGAATGAAAGATGTACGAAGTCTGGTTCTCAGTGCACAGGAGACAGTAATCATGAACACCCAAAGCCAAGGGCACAGAAGCCTCTTTCTGGGGGAGGTGGGGGGGGGCAGTGTCAATGGATGAATGCTTCCCCCATCTAAGAGCAAGAGTAAACTGGAAGCAAGAGCAGACCCGTTTCCCTCAGACACAGGCTCACTGCCGGGACCCCTTCACACTCGAGTACCAGGCACAATGGAAGCCCTGCCCTACATCTGATGGGGCAACAACCCTCACCCAGAGGAGGAACTCCAAGAAGACGGACAAGACAGGGGAGAGAGAGACAGGGGGAAAGGAGCCCTGGAATGTCCAGTTCCTCCCAAAAGAGAGAGAGAGGACAACTCAAAGGGTATTCAGGAAATGAGCTCACCCCAACCCAGGAAAGTGTGCGGAGAGGATGCCTCCTCTGTAAGAAGTGTCTGCTTTCCTATTTAGAAATGACTTCAGAGCTGCCCAGGCCCCTACGACCCACTGGGAGAGGGAGAAGAATAAGGGGAGCCCGAGTCCCCTTGTCCTGGCAAAAGGGTCAACAGATGGTGTGCAGAGGCCCCAAAGATTCCACAGAAGATGAGAGGATGAGGCGGACCCCTCTGCCAGAGGAGGATCAGGGTCACAGAAGGTAAAGGGCAAGGGAGTATGGAGAGCATCACTCGCCGTAGAATCGGAGACCCCACCCTCCTGGCTGCGAGGGGCGCAAGGGCAAGAGTGGGATGGGAGCGACTGCTAGGGGCGGGGGTGCTGCGCAGGCCCCCTCCCCGGAAGGGAAGGGGGAGGGGTCACACGAGGCCCTTCTGCCCGGGGACGCTCAGCTGGAGAGGGTCCCCCTGGTGGGGAGAAGCGCGGGGACCCTGCCGGCTCAGGGAGGCGCCCACGGGGCTCCAGGGTGAGGCTGGACAGAGTCCGCCCGGCCCCGCCGCCGAGAGCCAGAGGCGGCGAGGCTGAGCGCCGGCCGTGCCCCGACGGGAACCGGCCCGGGGCAGCGGGGCGCGGGGCCGGAGGGGGCCTGAGGAGGATAAACTTTCCGCCCCGCGGCCCCCACCGGCGCGGGGGGCGGGGGGCGGGGGCCGCGCCGGGCCCGGGAGCGGCGGGGATGCCCGGTCCGGGTGGGGGAGGCGCCGGCCCTCCCTCCGCGGCTCCTCCTCCTCGCTGGGCCCGGCCCCCGCCCGCCGGCCCCCCGCCCCTCCGGCCCCAGCCCGCCCCCGGGTGGGGGTGTGCGGCGCCGCGCTCCACCGCCCCGCGAGTCACCTCAGGACCCGGCCGCGCTCCGCCCCCCCCACCCGCCGCCCCCTCCCCGGCCCGGGGCGCCCGCCCGCCGCCGCCGCCGCCGCGCCCCCGCGCTCCCGCCCGGCGCCGCCGATGCCCGGGATGTCCGGCGGGGCCGGGTCCCGCTGCCCGCCGCGCCGCCCCCAGCCCCTCACGCTCCGGCTCTTACCTTCCGGCTTGTTTTCGGCAGCCATTTCCCCTCCGCGCGCCACATCCTCCTCCTCCTCGCGACCGGGACCCCGAGCGCGCGCCTCGTACCGCCGCCGCCGCCGGCCCAGCCACCCCGCCGCCGCCGCGCACCCGCCCTGGCCCCGCCCCGCGGCCCACGCACTGCTTCCGTTGGGCCGTGCGGCTGCCACTCATCGCTCCCACCACCAATCGCCCCGCACCAGGGGTCTCACTACTCTCCGGGAGGAGCGTCCTATCCATCCGGCCCATTGGCTGGTCACCACCCAACGGAATGAAAGGATTGGTCAAGAATCAACGCCCCCTCCCCACCCACTCCCAGGAAAGCCCGCCTTCCAGACCTAAACAAAGCTTTCCAGTGGCCAGAGCCCGAAACAACTGCCCAATCAGAAAGGGGCCGACACGGAATATTTCCTCGAGGCCGAGACGTGGCATTTTGATTGGGCCTTCCTACAGTGTTTCCCAGGCCGTCCAGACCAATCAAAGGGGGTTCCCGGAACTCGGGAGCGGCGAAGGGAAGCCCCGCCCCCGAGCGTGACCGTCATGAGGAAGGCGCTCGTTCATTGGCGCGTTGGGGCTTTTCCCGCGTGCTCCCGGGGCTGAAGGACGTTCCCGGGGAAGCCGCTGCCGGCGCGTGGGGTCCCGGTGGCAGTGGAGGACGCAGCGGGATCTCCGGGATCCCTCAGCCTCCTGCTTCCGGGGGGCAGCGGGAGCCGTGGGGGCTTGGGGCTGGCGTCCGCCGGTCGCAGCGCTCGGGAGCCGGCCGGCCCGGGAGCCCGGGCGTCGCTGCGGGCCGTGGGGGGTGGGGCGCGTCTCCGCAAGGCCCCGCCCCTTCCCCTCCCCCAGTCGACGCCCCGCCCCCTCGGTCCGCGCCGCCGCGGCCCCTCGCGCGGGTGCCCGGCCAGCCTGTGCCCGCCGTCGCCCGCCCCCGGTGTGCTCCGTTGTCCCCTTTTCTAGCGGCTTAAAATACTGAAACTTTATTTTGGTCACGTTGGCCATGTGACCCGCAGAGCCGATGACTCATAGATGCCTGTCCCAGGATGAGGCCGCCGAGCAAAATCTTAGAGAAACGTTGAGCCTTGGCGAGCCTGCTCCGGAGGGCGAGGCGAGCCAAGTTTGCTTCCCTCCTGGGTTCACATTCGTGGCTTTCCCGAGCGAATATTCCAGCCTCCACCGTACTCACGCCCCGTGCAAGGCGAGGAGACCAGCGAGGTTTCAGTCGCGGAGACACAACCCAGAAGCGGGTTAGGGGCCATCCTGGGGGGGAGAGGGGAGGGACAGACACACCGCTGCAGCTTCTCTGCAAATCCGTCTACACCTAGGAAACCAACACACACTGCACCGAGAAGCCTAAAGCCAGAGGAAATGGCAAAGATGAAAATGCCCTGTCGCAGAGAAATTCAGGAATTGTGCACGTGGGCAGGTAGTACCGGAAACAAAGGAGAGGGCTGAAAGCTCCAAGTTTAAAAAAAAAACGAAGAAAAGTTGAATGAAAATCAAAGCTCCAACCCCTCTGTGTAGATCTTGTACGGTTTGCAGTGAGAACCTTTAAATCCTCTACATTTTATTTTGTCCTTTTCTACCCGTGGATGACAACTAGCAGGAGCAGCGCAAGGTCCTTGTTTGAGTATTTTGGCACCAAGTTGACTGTCAGAGTGAATTTTGCTCCAGTTGTAACAGCATGTGTTCTTTTTCTTGTCTTAAGTGAAAATTTCTTGTTTCCCGGAAATAAAAATGTTCCCCCCAAAAAAGTTTTGCTTTAGAGACTAATTCTTCAACAAACTTTCATTTTATGAGGGTCAAAAAATGCAAAATTTTAACAACGAGGGCACAATATTTTATCGATTAGCGTTCTTAATAGCACCTGTGTTGACGATTTGTGTGGTGAAGCATATTCTTAAAAGTGCCGGTGGCGTTGAAAATTAATGTAACCCTTTTGAAAAGCAATTTTACAGTATGTATTAAAAGCCATAAAAAACGTCTGCATCTTTTGACCCAGTAATCTTACTTCTGGGAATCTATTCTAAGGAAATAACACTAAATGCCAAAAAAACTATATGTGTGAAGGTATTCTTCACAGGATCACCGTATTTATTACAACAAGAAAAATGTGCTAATGTTGGATGTTTAATAAGTAAATCATGTTGTATCTATACAAGAGAACATCATGGTAGTCACAGACATTAAAAACAGAAAGGAAAATTTACTCATTACTAGTTGCGGTGGGGAATAGTTTTCCGAAAAATGGCATTCTGTTACATGTGATGTGATTCTAGGTAGAAAACTGCATTTTCAAAAAAGACGTGATAAACACCCAAAAAATGACATTTGGGAGATTGTGAGCAGTTTTTCTTATTGTCTCTATTTTCTGTAATATAACTACAGTGTTATATAATTAAGATATATATTTAAATCTAGACTTCCTTGGCAGTCCAGTGGTTAAGACTCCATGCTTTCAATGCAGGGGGTGTCAGTTCCATCCCTGGTCAGGGAACTAGATCCCACTTGCTGCATGGTGTGGCCTAAGAAAATTTTTTAATTTAAAACTATAAATAAATGTATATATTTAAGTTAAAAATAATTCTTTCAAATGTTCACTAGAGACTAGACATTGTTAGATGCTGAGGATGTGAGGTTGAATAAGGTGGTCTCCCTCCAAGGGGTGCAAAGCCAGCGGGGTTAACATATGTGAAAAACAGCAGGTCAAGTGCAATGGGGATCCTATCACCTGGGCCTCAAATACAGCCTGTAAAACTATAGAACAATACCACTCTGATTGCTAATTTTTTGTTTAGGAAAATGTAGTTATAAAAGATATGATGGATGTTAACGTATAATGGTGACTGCAGTCATGAAGTTCAAAGACGCTTGCTCCTTGGAAGAAAAGCTATGACCAACCCAAACAGCATATTAAAAAGCAGAGACATTACTTTGCTGACAAAGGTCCGTCTAGTCAAAACTATGGTTTTTCTGGTAGTCATGTATGGATGTAAGAGCTGGACCATAAAGCTGAGCACCAAAGAATTGATGCTTTTGAACTGCAGTGTTGGAGAAGACTCTTGAGAGTCCCTCCAAGGAGATCCAACCCGTCAGTCCTAAAGGAAATCAGTCCTGAATATTCACTGGAAGGACTGATGCTGAAGCTGAAACTCCAATACTTTGGCCACCTGATAAGAAGAACTGACTCATTTGAAAAGACCCTAATGCTGGGTAAGACTGTAGGCAGGAGAAGAGGACGACAGAGGATGAGATGGTTGGATGGCATCACCGACTCCATGGAAATGAGTTTGAGCAAGCTCCGGGAGTTGGTGATGGACAGGGAATCCTGGCGTGCTGCAGTCCGGGGTCAAAAAAGAGTCAGATACGACTGAGCGACTGAACTAAACTGAATGTGTAATGGGTTTCTATTTTTAATGAACTAATAAAATATTTTGTATGTGTATACAGCACATACACTACAGGTAAATCATGAAACAAAAGCTCAGGACTTCCCTGGTAGTCCGGTGGTTAAGAATACACTTTGCAATGCACAGGATGTAGGTTCAATTCCTGGTGGAGGCAACTAGGATCCCACATGCCAGGGGGTAACTAGCCACAACTATGGACCCTGCATGCCACAACGAAAGATCCCAAATGACCCAAAGAAGATCCCACGTGCTGAAATTAAGATCTGATGCAACCAAGTAAATGAATATTTATTTTATAAAAAAAAAAAACTCTTCAGAGTCCTCAATTATTTTTAAGAGCGGAAAGGTATCCTGAGACCAACAAGTTTAAAATCTCTGGACTGGAGAATGAGATGTTTTGTGGGGGGACTGGTTGGCTGGTGTCCTAGACCATTCCAACTGCTATAACAAAGTTTCAAAGACTGGGTGGCTTATAGCAATACAAATTTACTTCCCACGGTTCTGAAGACTGGAAGTTAGAAGTCAGGGAGCTCCTCACATGGCAGAAAGAGGAAGTGAACTCTTTCATGACTTAAAAGGGCACTAACCCCATCATGGCATCCCCCTATCATGGTCTCATCTAATCCTAATCACCCCCCAAAGGCCCCATTTCTTAATACTGTCACGTGGAAGGTAGAATTTCAGCACATGGATTTGGGGGGAGGGGGACACAAGCATTCAGTCCATAACAGCTGGTATTTGTCTTTGCCTGGGAGAGTAACCAAGAAATGGGTATTTTTAGTAAGGAAAGTGGCCTGTGTTGCTAAAAAAAAAAAAAATGCTCAGTTAGAAGGGCTTCCCTGGTGATCCAGTGGTTAAGACTCTACATGCCAATGTGGGAGACATGGGTTTGGTCCCTGGTCCAGGAAGATCCCACATGCCTCAAGACAATGAAGCCCATGTGCCACAACTACTGAGCCTGTGCTCTAGAGCCCAAGAGCCGCAGCAGTTGAGCCCATATAACACAACTTCTGAGCCCGCGTGCCAAGAGCCCAGGCTCCACAAGAGAAACCACAACAATGAGAAATCTGTGCACCAGCAACTAGAGAGTAACCCCGACTGCCCCAACTAGAAAAAGCCCACGAGCAGCAGCGAAGACCCAGTGCAACCAAAAATTTTTTTAAATAATTTTTAAAAAAATTTTTAAAGAACCCAGTTAGAAAGGAGAGGAGTCAGAAGACACGCTGGACACCCCACCATCTGAATCCTGGCCTATTTTGGCCTTAATGTTCTTCCCAGAAAGGATGTTACTGTCCAGGACCAGATGGACATACATGAATAATGGGAATATTAAGAAGTTACTTTTCTACCTCAAAACTACTTGTAAAAGAGTGTCCTTTCCTGGTCAGCATTCTGAAGTACTTAAAAGTGACTGTTTGTTATTACTGCTGATGATAATAACAAAAGTGCTTGGAGGAATTCCGCTCAATGTTATGTGGCAGCCTGTATGGGAGGGGAGTTTAAGGGAGAATGGATATAGTATATGTATGGCTGAGTCCCTTTGCTGTCCACCTGAAACTATCACATTGTTAATCAGCTATACTGCAATCATGCAGACAGTGACTGCAGCCATGAAACTGGA